ACGACGTGCGTTTCTCCGTATAGATGATGACGGCTCATCAGTTGTGCAACGTTGAACTCGGATGGTGAGCCAATATAATTATGATGAAGAAAGGAAAAGGTTGTTGGTTTGCGCCTTAGAGAAGTGTTGGAGCTAAGGGTCAGGTCGTCGAATGTTTCAGTACTCCTTGTCAGGTTTGTGCCATTTTGTCGCACTCGCTGATGGTATAAGATCTGGTTACGTTGGTGGACAGTTTGTCAACTTTCAAAATGTATTTTTTTAGGCTAGTCAGATGACTCAGGCGTGCCTCTGCAATGAAAACCGCAACAGGATCTCGCTTCAGATAGCGGGAATTTAGAGGATTTGACACCACGCAAACACATGATGCTGGAACTTACCAGCGCAAAGCACAGCCGAGTGCGAATCCACCCCATAGTGGCAAAATCCTGATCATTTCTCTTGTCAGAGATAAGAGCAGCCAAGCGCTTGTACAAAACTGTGGCAGCTTTCCCAGCATCACGAATGGCCGATATGACGACTGGAATGAAGGAGGCCTTCTCGACTTCCCGAGTTCTCTCCTCATATCATCTCCTCCTCTCGAGTTCATAGCCACCATGCACAGCGGGGGTTTAGGGAGCATTATTCGAAGCAGTATAGAGGTTGAAAAGCCGTATATCAAACATTGTGCGTTCTAACCAGCCACCCCAGAATCCACTGGTAGTAAAGTCGAGGCAAGCATTGTCCGCTAAGGACGCAGACTGGAGGTTGTACTGCTCACCAGAGAGCGGTTGCAGTGGAGGTTCCACGGATACTGAGTGAGCCACCTAGCGAATGAGGTCAGCGGTGACGTCACGGATTTTATTGTGCCATACGACGGAAAACCACCGGTCGGGCCGAAAAATGCGTGGGAGACATCGAAGCCGCCGTTTCCACAAATGCAGGACGACGGCAAACGCTCCGGCACCCAGCCATAGCGCAAAAACCGAGCATCTCCAGACTCAGACTTAGAGAGACGAAAGCCATAGCAGGGTAGAGGACGTTACGTCAGCCAAGTATAGCTACCACACTGGGAAGAAAGCTCAAACTGAGGCACATATACCGCACCTTTACCGCTCAAACCCCCTCCTTCAGATGTTGCTGTGATGACCGAGCTGCAGTGCGGACTTGACGTTTGGTGGTCTTGGTAGCGTCTGCCACACAAGCTGGCGAGAGATCTGCCCCACCAATCCTTACTCTGACCTCTTTGGTGGGCATATTGGCGTGATTGGGCGTGGGAATCGAGAGACTCAAACTGCCATGCCGACAAGGGACCGAAAGCATAAGTCGCTCCACACTGGACGGAGGGACTCGACTAATAAGTCCTGGGATGAGGCGCTCCCTAATAACAGCTTCCAGACCACCAAACTCCTCAGATGACATCTCCAAGGTCCGGCACAAGAACTATCACTTGTTTTGTAGACCATGGACAAATGTGGAGTTGGCGGCAAAGGGTTGTGTCAGGACAAAATCGGTTAGCCGCGACACCTGAAGTGTCAAGTAGATGAGCTTTGCCTCTACGAAACTAGCTGCTCGGTCAGTCCATCCCACCAGGTGCGGAGGGCTCGAAGTTCTCCACACCCTGAAGGATCATCTGCGTACCACACCTGGATGACGTCAGATGAGCTGACTGCCTGGACCAAGCGTACGATGCAAAGGGCGCACATCAGCATCGCAACCGGATCAATCTGCATGGGTAGTGCTTCACAGTATAACAAGCATTCACCATCCACAAAGAGGTTTGCCGGATGGCGGCATGTGTCGATGTTCGACTCAAATCGCAATACTTTTTTATGGTAGGTGTAAGTCAATTCTCCAAGCATATGGACTAATTCACAAGTGTGCAAACGTTTCGCATCGAGACACGAATGGCAAGAATGCATGCAGTTACACATGTAGCTGTAGGTCGGTGTTTTATATTCCTCAGGTAGATGTGTGCGCGAATGAGTGCCGCGCAACCAGTTGGTAGACATTTTCTACTATTACGGAATATGTTTAGATGAGTTCATCGGTGGCGTCGACAATCTTTTTTTGTGCCTTATACAACTTCCATCATCAAGACCCTCAACAGGAAGAGGAGTGCTAGTAAAGCCGTTCAGCGCTGATGTGCCTGCGTGGTGCACGCACGGCATTCTTACCAGCAATGGCCTCAGACTCGGCAGCGCTTTTTGTTGCTAAAGCAAGAACCTCAGCTATCTGTCAATTGTCATTAATGACATTATACATGATCATCACCGCGTGCGCTCGATCTAATCATTGATTGTCTTTATTTTATGTTTTGCCCGTACAAGAGGCATTAGCACTGCAAAAAAGTATAAAACAAAGTATTTGATAGAAAAGGAAAAGGAACATCAGTGAGAAGTCATTATACTGCCTGTAATGCTGGTGAAGTAAAACAAAGTAACAACAACAACAACAAGGAACTACAAGATACGGTTTTGTGTCCACTAACACCACCTGTTACCAAGCAATCAGATCATGCCATATCGTTGCAAGAGGCTGGCCAATGGTACTGACGTTCTACTACGAACTGGCTAACAGCATTAGCACATCTTGGAGGCGCACACTAACACATGCGTCACATTGTGATATGTATCTTATAAGATTAGAACAACACTAAAACAGGATGGAGACTACTTCTGGCAAAGGCAGGCAGAAGCTTCTGATGCCTTACGACCAGACCCACGATCCTATTACAATGCAATTCGGAATCTGCGACAAATTAATATGGTGATGAATTCACTCCAGGCATTATGGCTGTCATTACGCGCCTGCCCACACACGCTCTCTACGCTGCAAAGTTACTCTGGCACAGCTCACCTTCTCCACCAATATCACTTAACGCCTGGCGCCTATTCGATGAATGGTTAATGGTACTCAATATAGTAGACAGCAGATCACACAGCAACGACATACTAGTAGCTCGATTGTAAGGCACGTTTCGTCCCCGCTGGACTCATGAGGCAATCTTCTTCTTGAAAGTCTTCGCATGAAGCCTGACGTGGGAGAATGATATCCCACTGCAGCTGTACTTATGTTGATTATTATCATGGCGATGGGCCTATGGGCCTATGAAAGAACGAGAGAGTCTTGCACTACATCGGTATGACCGACCTGAACATGGCGCAGCTGACCCAGCAGCTGCCTGGTGTAAAGGTGAATCTCATAGCGCAATGAGGTCAGTAAGAACCCCCTACGCAGGCCCACAGTGTGACAGCTTAGCAATGCGGCTGGTCCACCATGGGCCAGTTATTCAGGCCTCTTTTATGAGCAAATTAACACAATGGATTAAAATGCAATATATCATACGCTGGAGAAGAAATCAGAAAATGCGTGTGTAAAATAAAGATTTTCAAACCCAACCCCAAAAAAACCTGGGCCAGCTGTCCCTTGCCATCGGGCAATCAACCACGACTATTATGAACCCACAAGTTGTCAAGTGTGAAGGGCCTTCTCGCTCGTGACATTGTGTTCGTTTCAATGCAGTTGTATTTCGACCCCGCCGTGCCGATGATGTTTACGACGTGGTATACGCTACATGCGCTAGGTGCGATTTGCTGTGTGCGCTGTATGTGTGTGTTGTATGCGTATGCTTTTCTGATATATGCTGTCATTTTTACTCTAAAACTACCTGGTGGTTTTAGTGTTAGTTATTAGTTGATAGTGAAGATTTATAAGTTTTTCGAAGTGACAAATACTGTTGAAGAGTAGATCGTTGTCCTGGTGCCGTGTGGTCTTTCGTTCCTGACAATTTAGAGAATTAGAAGGGTTCACAACATTTGACGACTACGCCAGGTCCAAAACGAGCATGGCAGAAGAACAAACTAATTTGGAAGTCAGCTTTATCGCCAAAGGAAATCGGTACGGATTTGAAGGCGTTAGGTTGATGGAACACGTGGAGAAGCGGCTCCGGAAGTGCTAGGAGCGTGAAGAGCGCAGTGACAGATGGCAGACTCTATTCTAAGTCCGTTGGGCAGTGCTGACGAAATTGGACAATAGGAGAAAAAGTTAGAACCCCGGTATAGGGCGGACACAGGGAGATGCGTATGGTAACTTCTAGAAAATAAACGTGCGGATGTCTTTGCGCTAACGGTTGCAATTTGTTCTTTCTTTTCTGTTATCATTTCATTCTATTTCCTTCTCAGGAAAGAATCTATAATATTATGTTTTCGCGCTAAAAGTCACCCTGGGCCACATATTTTTGTCCAGTACAAATGGGGGAGCACTATTCAAGAGAGAGAGAGCTGTTCGAAAGAGGGTACTAAGGGAATCTTCAAAGGGCAGAAGCCTAAGAAAACACCGAGCCGAATGCTTACTGTAAACTACTACGATTCACCGATACGACAACGAGAGCTGAGATTTTGATCCTGAAACTACGGGGGGAGGGTTTGAGGGGAGGGAGGGGATTATACTAATCAAGAGAGAGAGAGGGAGCTTGGTGTTTTCATTGTCTCTTAGAGATTGGGGCATAACTTGAGAAAGAGTGAACTATCCAAGAGATGGCTCTATTTGCGCGAGTACAGTATATGGAGATGTCTGTTGTATTCACCACTATAAACAACACACGATCAAAATCCCGTTTCAGGGAGGTAAAAGAGTGTAAGGCAGTAGTTCTTAAAGTGAGAACGTTGAGTGCGGAAAAGTTCTTCTTCTGAATGCATAACCTGGGTTACGCAAATTAGGGACTCCACCATTGAGTGTGCAAGCACAAGTAGCATACACAAAAACACAATACTTGTATACATCACAGTACCTTGGGTTTCTCACAAATTAATTAAATACTTCCCGGGATCAACAATAATATCGGGATCTGTACAATGTTCGCATTCAACCGAACCCTCCCTCTCCACCCCTGCGCGCACCACCATCATCACCCGAACTTGTTCCATCCTTCATTTCGCTCCTTTTTCTATTTACACTGCTCCCATATACACATACTTGTGCTTGCTTCTGCATAATTTGTAATTCTGTGTAGTGAAATGGGATGCCTGTCCTCTTACCAGTGCTCGCACGTGGCAAGTCGATTGGACCTTTCAATGTGAACGGAAAACTTGGACAGAAGCAAAAGCAGAATGTCAATCATATGGCGGATCTCTAGCGACTGTGCACACAATGGCTCAGTTGACGTGTGCAAACCTGACAGTGGAGGGAACTATCGCTGTTTGGGTAGGCTTGACTGGTACATGGAAAGCTGGAGATTGGAGTGCTTGGAAATGGGAAGTGGCATCGTCCACGAGTACGACGAGACTTCCCTGGTCATCCAAGTATAAACTTCCGTTTCAAAACTCTAGTTATACTTACGGTTTTTTTGATCCAAACAAGGGCTTAGTGAACTGGATCAACAACTTTCAAGCTAGGTACCTCTGTCAACGATATTTGCCTAAAGGTAGGTCTATATCCATTGATTAAATTGAAGGAATATCTATACTGATCTAAATCGGTACGGGCCACTCCTCTGATTAAATTAGACATTCCATTTACTCTTTAAAGCACAATTCCCAAAAACGAAGACCGCGGATATACCTGAAGATATTTGAAAGAGAAACAGGGCACGGGATAGTGTTCTTCGGTGTTAGCGAATGGTAGGTTCCCGAATGTAACGAAGTGGCAATTTAATACACCATTTCACTCGCACCTGAAAGCAAAGCTTCGCTGTACTTGCGTCAACACTAATGATGCTTGTAAGGTCAGAGCGCTCTTATATGTTCATGAATGCAAACCCTTAGTAGACAAGAGTGCTCGACCCTTGACTCATGCTTATATGCATGTACAAACGATACTTACATGAACTGTAAAGAGAGCAGTACTCGGTGCTGCGCTTGATTCCTCTTCAGTCAGCGCACCGGAGCTGTCGAGTGCCCTAGAAGATGTCTACGCTAACTAATACTTCCGTGGACAGGACTTTTCTGAGTACAAACGAAATTCCTTGCTTGCAATTGCCGCTGGATCCGCATGTGACCAGGTGCTGACATTGAGCATCTTTACAGACGGAGCGTTCCAGCGAGCAAACAAGGTTTTGGACGCTCAACATGTCAATGGCCCGATGATTGCGGATCAAGCGGCAAGCCAGGACATTTCATTAGTACTAAGAACAGCCCTGTTCAAGGTGGTTAGCGTAGAATTTTCCTAGGGCACACAACAGCTCCGAAGCGCTGCCTAAAAAGAATAGAAGTGAGGGTAGAACTGCTTGGCTCGCTGGCTCGCACTATACATGGTGGCGGTGTCTGCATTTATGTTCATTCTCACTTTGCTGGAACCGTAATCCAACGTTCTACAGGATCCACCGTAGAGATATTAACAGTCCGTTTCCGTATTGCTACCAAGCCACGTGCAACAGACATTAGTGTGTCCACCTTGTATCGCCCACCGTAAGCCACAGTGGATTTCTGAGACAAGTTGAGCTCTGAACTTGACTAAGCCCTTCAACCTCCGAACGCATTAATCCTAGGCGACTTCATTACTGATGTTCTCCAGCCAACGACTCCAGGATATCGCCGTCTACAGCGTGTCTGTGCGGAACATCACCTCAAAAATGTTATCACTGAACCCACTCGTTTAGCACGCACTTGCCTAGATCTTGCTCTGGTTACTGACGGCTCCCCTGTAGTCAAAGCGGACGTAGTCTCAATGAACGGTGTTAGTGATCACGATCTCATCATTGCCCAATGTGCCTTTCAAGACCTTGAGCCCATTCCTGCGCAGACTCACAGATTCGGAAGCCTGCACCCCATTCTATGGATTTCGACCAATGTGGCCAGGAAATCAGTGCAAGTTTCAGAACTTGGGAGTTGCCCACCAGCCTGGACGGTCAAGTGATGCATTTTTCCAATTGTTTGAGAAATGTTCTGGAAATAGAATCCCTCATTACTCAGCCCAACGTGTCTGGACTTGGCAGGCCTCGTCGGCAACCATGGGTTACGCCACACTTGAAAAAGCTTCTTCAGCTTCGAATAAACTTGCACAGGAAATTATGAAGGAACCCAGCCGATGGCCCCCTCCTCCAGCAGTACCGGGCAACACGGCGCGAAGGAACCCTCTTGAATAAGAAACTCAAAACAGAATACTGCGTTAAGGCCTTCAACATCCGCAAACGCAAACCCAGAGCCCAGTGGCTAATCCTGAACAAGCTTGCAGGACGAGAAAAAGTCAAATCCTTAGTCCTTACCTAAGGCGACTATATCCGACCTGACAGCCACATTTGCAACCGTAGTTTGTGATCCTTCCAGACCGTCTGAACGTGTTCTACCCAGCCCACCAGTCGACATTCCCACCCTCGACAAGTTTACGCCAGTCACAGTAGAGTATGTTGAAGATGTCTTGAAGTCATTGAACAGCAACAAAGCACAATGTTCCGATGAAATACCACCATGTTTCCTCAACTGATGCCGCACAGACATCGCTGGTCCACTCACCGCAATCATCAATACGTCTCTGCATACAGGCCAAGTTCCAAGTAGTTTAAATCATGCACACGTGTGCCCACTCAACAAAGCTGGCGACGCAACAATTGGCTCCAACTACCGACCAGTGTCACTTTTGCCAGTGATATCCAAAGTTCTTGAAAAGGTGGTACACCGGCAACTTGTAGCATTCTTCGACAATCATCCGGAACTCGGTGCACTACCGGAGGAGCAGTTTGCTTACAGACGCAATCACAGCTGTGAAGACCTTTTGGCGTATGCAATAAACGATTGGCAGTAGGCCTTGGACAAGAAGCAGCTGTGTGGAGCCTTGTTTGTGGACATGGGCAAGGCCTTTGACCACGTTCAGCATAACAAGCTCGTGCAGGAACTGGCTTCAGTTGGCGTCGGAGGTGTGGCATTGCGTTGGTTCGCAGACTACCTTACTGGGAGAACCCAGCAGGTCGTTGTCGGGGATGCCCGAGGCAGTACAGAGCCCTGCTAACGTGGTGTACCACAAGGCTCTGTGTTAGACCCCTTACTTTTCTGCATTTATATCCGTCGTACCCTCAGAAATTTCAACATTGCCGTGCTCTCCTGTTTGCGGACGACATCGCGCTCTACTTCATTGGTCGCAAGGCTTCTACCGTGCTTAAAATGCTGCATTCAGATCTCTTGAATCTGGAGGACTTCCTCAGCAAGCGGGGACTGGTGCTGAATCCCAAAACATCTTAGCTACTGCTGCTCAGACGACCTACTGCGCAACTGGACGTGATCCCAAGCATCACCTGCAAATGCACCGTAATCCCCGAGTCCATCCATGTTCTGTACCTTGGCCTCCTATTGGACTCGTCGCTCAGCATCGAGCAGCGGATTGAGCGTGTGTGCGCCAAGGCACAGTGCAAGGTTGCCTCATTCCGCCACGGGCGCCGCGATGTCTCTATGAACGGCCGCCGCATGTTTTACCTGACAATTGTCCAGAGTACCTTGGACTATGCCAGCACATGTTGTGTTCACCGGTTGTCTGCTAAAGTCCGAGAAAAACTTGAGTCAACCAGTAATAAGTGCCTAAGGTGAGTGTTTGGCCATGATCAGTATACTTCTATCGATTTCATTCTCACCAAATATAACCTGTATACTTTCTCTCGCCGTGTAAACTTGAAGCTGTTTGTGTTTGTTTTTAGGTGTCTATCTCGTTGCACCAGTCCTCTTTTAAGCACGATATTTACCCCTCCGCACTGCATCACGCAGCACAAATGCTGCTACCCGCGGTCAAGCTTCAGCCGCTCTGAACCTACCCAGATCTACGCTCCGTTAAGGCCTGAATGCTATTTCATTTTTGACAGCAGACAAGTGGAACATGCTTCCACCTGGATGCCGTCAAGCTAAGCCCCTTTCTGCATTTGTCACAAGCACCAAGTCATTCCTAGGGTTCCCAGTAAAAAGTCAACGCCTGTTGGGATTTCCCTAGTAAAATAATAAATTCTACTAATACTACTAGGGTTGTTGTGGGTGGGTGTATGTGTGTGTGTGTTAGTGTGTGCGTGTATGTGTGTATGCGTGTGGGTGTTACTATGTGTGTGTGCGTGTAAGTATGTGTGTGTGTGGTGTGTGAGCGAGATTAAGCGCGTACGTGTTAGTGCTAGACCTGCGCCTACTGCATCTGCCTCTGAAATAGCCTTTCCCTGTATACATTCACGCGATTACTCCTCTCGCTATCGTATTATCACACCTCTCTCCACTTAGATATACCAGCGCTGTCTCCTATTCGATTATCGTTGTCTGATGATTGGTTCAGCCATGAAACTCTGAGTCGCAACGGAATTAATTTGCCAAGTTTTCATTGTGTGCCTTTGTATACTACTACACCGTTATGAGTGATGTAACAGTCACGCCCAGGATGTTTCTTTGTGATAATTGAGTACGCCATTGTCTCATAACGTGACGCCTCAGTGTTTGCGGTGCGAAAGCAGTTCTTGTTGTTGTTGATATTTTTATCTTTAATGTGATGCTGTAACCATTATCTATCCGAGTGATACTTCCCTAGATAAGCAAGCGAGAACCAGACTTCCGCGATTATACCCCACTGTGGAATAGTTGCACTGTCTCAGAGAGTCAGAGGGTAACAATCTCTAAGAGCTATTGGATAAAAACAAATCCCTCTCTTGAGTTGTGCCCAACTAAGCTCCTGTGAATGTTTGGTTTTCTTTTGCTAACCAAGCGCCTATGCAAGTTTGGTGCTGTTTTGCTAATGGACTTGTCCATGCCATTGCACTGGTGGTTCAAGGATCAAAATTATGGTTGCCGTTTCTGCTGGTTCAGGAACGCGTACAGAAAACTTTATGCTCCGTTTTATGCTGGATGACGCAAATGGATGAGAATTGGGTAATTTCTTGAATAGTGGGTTACGGTTCGTTGCTTTTATATAATTATCTTTTCGAACATACCTTATTATCTCGAATATAAGCACAGTCTCCAATAATAGCACGTCTCCAAAGATAGTACACCTTGGGGCGGCATTCTAGAAATAAAGTGCTCAGTCTCCATTATAAGCACACTGTGTAAATTCATTATCTGTACCGGCGAAAAAACTGAAATGTGTGTGTCTGACATGAATTGGGCCATGGCAACATGCCTCTTAAATGAGGTTGAAATAATAAAGGAACAGTCTCCAATAAAACAACGTCTCCATTAATAGCACGGGGCGGAGGTACATTTAAAAAATAAAGGACCGTGCTTATATTAGAGATAATACGGTAGACATGCAGGGGAGAAACTATGAAATAATAAAGGAACAGTCTCCAATAAAACAACGTCTCCATTAATGGCACGGGGCGGAGGTACATTTAAAAAATAAAGGACCGTGCTTATATTAGAGATAATACGGTAGACATGCAGGGGAGAAACTACGATCCACCTTTCAGTCTCTGACCTTTGCTTGCACGACGAATTCGACGGTTTTATTTACCACCATGGAGCGGAGTTTTCACATAAATGTGCACGTTAAAATAATGACAAAGCCCCACTGAACAAATCCCCTACAGATACAGTCTAATCCCAATCCAACACAACAAAGATATTCGCCTTCAAATTATCCGAGCGTTTAAATTTCAGAGTCTGAGTTCTAAATCACTTACCATCAACAATCAATTCCTATTTTCTGTTTCACCGTCCTACACAATTTGTGCCACTTAAGCTTTAAAAAAATCTCTGCAGCGGTAGATTTCAAACACTCAGCCCGAAATGTTAGCCGAGAAAAATATTCGCGCAAAAATAGTCGATTCACATCAGCCAAACTTGCAAACAAACAAACGTGAGTTGAAAATTGAAATCTTTGATGGTAACCGCCCAAATTATTATTTGAGACTTCAATTCAGAGTTGAACAAACCCATTTCTCAAGTTATCCTGCCTGTTGCTTTTGAACTGCGTGGAACTTTGTGTATTGAGCAATCTATTTCAGGTAGCTCAAATGTTCCTATACATGTATATGGCAAATGTTTCATTATGGCTGTGTCGGAATGCAATCTATGTTTTTGTGAAGATAACTGGTACGTGTGCTCCATGAGCAAATCTCTTGGACTCATGGAGATACTTTACATTTCAACACCTAAGACATTTGATGAGGCCACCACCGAGTGCGCAGGGAGAGGCAGCATTCTGGCCAATCTCCAGAGCATAAACCATAGAGAGTGCGCAAGGTCAGTGCTTGGACCACGAAATGGTCAATGCAACAGTTCCTCCGGCGATAACTGCAGGAATGCCTCGTCCGGCTGCGAAACCAATACTTGCAATGTGTGGGTTGCTCTACAACGACCATCTAAAAATTTGACATGGGTGTTGCCTGTTCCATCCGCATCGAGTACAATTCCATGGATAAATTCAACAACAAGAGGTAGTGGAGAGCGAAAATGTGGTTACTATTCACCTGAAAAAGAGGGCTTCGGAATCGAATCTTGCACAATGAAGCTAAGTTTCTACTGTCAAAGATATACACCAAATGGTAAGGTATACTAGCTAGGACTTAACTAGCGTGTAGTTGTCGGTATAGCGTTAGTTACACTGGTTTAAGAACTGCATGCCGATAATGCTCAACAATCTACTCTTTCGTGGACCGCCAATACCTTATGCATTCACTGTGTGCATTCACTGTGTGAAGAAGATAACGATTCGAAAAACACTAGAGGTTTAATATTGACAATAAATGAGGTTTTGAAGGAGTAATCCACTTTTGCCAAACCAATATGTAACTCAAAGTAACAAGGACCACTACTACCATATCAACTCTATGGTGCTGATCATGTATTTATCCATCATACCCCGCATGAAAGGGAATGAAGATTTGCGGCAACAAAAATGATTTTAAACACAGGTCAGACAAAAAAACATAACAAAAAACATAATATATTATGTCCTCTGTCGTTACGTTTGACAAGGAAACTATTGTGGGTTCCTAATCTTAATTCAACTTCATGTATCTTGATTCAAGTCTTTAATTCCTCTCTCTCTTTCGATTTAACAAGTGAGGGTTTTGACCTGTACTGCCAAACTGTTTGGCGTGCTTGCCGACCGATAACTACGTAATATCATAGTCAACACTATAGATACAAGAAACTAACTCTCCTCCTCCATGCACTCTAAAGCCGACCATTGCTACCCTCGTTAGCCATTACTCACACCAATACCTTCAAACAACGAAAGGGTCATGGGTAAAACATTTCCTTCTGACAGCTGTTTCGCCTATCAAAGGCTCGTCAGAGAAGGTGACGCTCACAGCCTCCACCTCACCTGAGCATTGTCTGTGGTTCGACTGTTATTGCCCCGTCTGACGAAGTTAAGTATCTAGGACTGACTCTCGATTCAACTTTAAGTTTCAGTGCCCACGTTAACTCCCTCAGGGAAGACATCGGAAAGAAACTAGGTGCTTTTCGACGTGGAAGGAGGAACCTTGCTGTCCAGGCCAGAAGGCAGTTCTACTTGTCAGTAGTCCAGAGCAAGCTCGAGTACGCCAGCACTGCCTACGTCCACTGCCTCGCTGACAAAGTGAGATATCAGCTGCTATGCATAAGTAAGAGAGCACTTAGATGCATATTTGAGCATGACACATTCACGCAGACATCATACTTGCTTGAGCGATACCACATAATTAGCTTAGACAAAAGATATCATACTAAGTCCATATTCTTCGTGTTCCTTTGCATCCACAATATCTGCAGTTCACTCCTCTCTGACATGTTCTCCCTTTGCCGTGACTGCGCTCACACAGATAGAGTAACCCACGGCCAAGTCAATTATTCCCTTTCCTTACCCATTGTGCAAGCTCAAGCTGGATACACATCTATTTCAATCCTTGGTGCTGACCGCTTTAATGCGCTTCCCGAATCTCTTCGCACCAATCATATCCCCAATTCATTTCGCCAGGAGCCTAACAATTTCGTTCATCTTGGGCACCCTGTAAGAAGACCTTAGGGTCTGTTGGGATTGCCCTAATAAAATAATAAAATACAATACCAAAAATACAATACAATACTGATATTGTAATTGACATGGCATATTGATTTTATACGGTGTAATTATTATGGGCGCAAGAAAGAAACTAGGCAAGGTGTAAAAATGATCCAAGAGTGTACGACATCCCCACTTTTACCTGCTGCCCACTCACACTGGTCCCTGTTTCCGATCCACTCTACTACATTCCATGATCACCACGTGGAACTCCCTGCCTACAGAGATTAGGATATCTGAAACCCGTGGTGTATTTAGCCAGCACGTTAAGTCCCATTTCCACAGGTATAGATTCCATCCTCGAGGTTTTCTCACTTCCTGATTACCCCCCTTCTTTACCAGTACCCTTTTCGCTTGCTTCTACTCAGACTTCGTATTTAACCTCTTCACATTCATCTTTTTTATCGTAATATTGTCTTCCTTTTAAGAATTGCCCCCTATTGTACACGCATTTTACACGTATATTTATTCTCGGAGATCCCCTTGATTTAGGCTTCGGCCTTTGGGGAATCCCTCAAATAATAATAATAATAATAATAAATAATAAATGAGAAGTTCCAAGAACATTCTCAAAGCCCTTGGTTCTAGGCAGGTGAAAAACTGTATTCGTCCAATCACAAGTTGCTAACATTTTGCATGGCTCGATAATGCAGCACAGATTCAGACTACGAGCGTGTAAATTCGTAACTGATCATGGAAAAGAAAAGAGTTTTGGCAAGCAACTAAACAAGAATATTAATATAAAAATAATAGCACATGGAGAAGGAGAGTTAGTTTCTAGTATCAATCAACAGCCGAAAGGTACCGTTCAACAGTTTATTGATATTCGTATGAACACTATAGATGTACAATATAAACTTGTTGCTGTTACATAGCCAGTACGAACGGTCCATACTATGTTTTCTCCCATGTAGCACCCTCCAACATAGCTGGCGACTCCACCGAAACTGAGATCTTCGCACGTTTATTGCAGCCACAGATACTCTGGGAATGGATATCTGGATTCTGCTTTGTTTACGCGGAAAATGGGACAGCGACTTACACAACTTCGGTTTGTGGCACAGGTGAGGCTATCGTTTTGACAAACCTGCGTGCCAACACGTCGTACCGAGTCCGAGCATTCTACACCACTACGACTGGCATGAACAGCAGCATCTCCCAAGAAGTCTATATTGGAACATTGCCTAAAGGTAATACAGTAAATACATTAATGCAAAGCCAAGGACCAAGAAACTAAAAGTTACGTTATATTGTCCACTAACGCCACCAGTTACTTTTATCTAAAAAAATGTGCTATAGCGATGACAATGCACGATAATAATGTAATGTATTGATGTTCTACAACTGACTGGTTATTAGCTCTAGAACGTCCTAGATGTGGTTGGGATGGTTAATAACTGTTCCACTTGTTTTATTCAAAGCTCCACATTTAAGTGGATAACAGCAAGAAGGTACAAGAGAAAAGCTAGAGATAAAAGGGAAACGAAGGATGAGTCCAGGTAGAAAAGGAAAAGGTAAGATTAGGCCGTTGAAAGGATCGGTCACGTAATACGGTTAATTTCCGTCGTCGATAGGATAATTATTCAATTGACATCCCTACGCAAGAAGTAGGGTGTTATTTTTAACAATGAAAAATAATATTTTACGAAGAATGCCTGCAAACGACACAGAACAGAACACAGAACACACTATTATTGATGTATGCATCCTACAAATCATGCAAGCGGCATTGATCGCGAAATGATGAGCATGCTCGGCAAGGCAAATAGGAAGCCCTTCATCCTTGAAAACAAACCATTTTAGTAGCAAGAAAGAGATACTGCACCTCGATTCTGCCCTAAATCTTCAATAATGATAATTTATGATAAAATGACTGGTGACGGTGATGGATAATGTAGTAGTATTTCATCAGCAGTCGTTTTGCAACTTTTAAAATCGCACTACTTTACATGCAGCATGAATGCTGCCTTCTTCTGATATATTCGTAGGTACTTGGCGCCTTTGCTGTGACTATGTAGGCTGAGTATATATAGGAAGCAGTGACCAGTCAAGGCCAAAACAAACAGTAAGACAGTCACAAACCACCCATGACCAGTCACAAATCAGTGAACAAGTCACAAGGCCCCATGAGCAGTCACAAATGAGTGTACAAGTCACAAGGCCCCATGACCAGTCACAAATCAGTGTACAAGTCACAAGTCCCCATGAGCAGTCACAAATGAGTGTACAAGTCACAAGGCCCCATAACCAGTCACAAATGAGTGTACAAGTCACAAGGCCCCATGACCAGTCACAAATCAGTGTACAAGTCACAAGGCCCTATGACCAGTCACAAATCAGTGTACATGTCACAAGGCCCCATGACCAGTCACAGAACAATGTCCAGTGAGTACTTTATTCATAATGGTGGTGGTAAAGACGCACCTGGCAGTATGGCGGTAAACACACGGCAGACAGTAATTATACAACATGAGTAAAGGAGATAAATGGCTGTCAATACAGTCTTATGTCGAGCCAGACGCGCTTCAGCCTGGACAAGGTTGACAGGTGCAAGATCGAAGTTGATGTTGTTCTTTTTGAGACATTTTGTCGTTCCAGTATTTCAAGTAGAAAGACTGCTCCCGGGAGGTAATACAAATAGGTACAAGACTACAAGCACATTGAACATCTGAAAATACATGATACTGTCGTTGACCATGCTGCAAGCAGCTACTTGTAGAAGGAAAAAACCACAAGAAAGACGTTGTATCTCATGTACTGGACAAACAGGGCTAACAGGAAAAGACCGTGACGACGGCAACAGGGCATGATCCGCGTACGCAACGGATGGCAAGCCTGGCAAGAGAAAATGCCAAGCAGCACCGCAGCCAAGCTACAACCCGGCTGTAGTCAGCGTTGCGTTTCGTGGCCAAGCCATGCGCCAGCGTCGTGACTACTACGGCTGCTTATGAGCCCATCCCACAACAGAAGGAGAAGACTAACGGTTTGAAGGAGCCATGCTCGACTCCATTGACACGTTCACCGTGAGCACTCTTCTTCTCCCCTTCAAACCTTCGGTAGACGGAATGAAGAGACTTGGACCGATAGCTCCGCGTGTGGGGATAAAATACCCTTGTATCGAAGAATGCATGGCGGCTGTCAGTCCAGAATCCCTTCACCTGCAGATCGGCACGGGCTTCAGGATCAGTGTTGGCTGACCTATGGTGTAAGGTTTCACCAGTTAGGGGCTGCAATGGTGGCTCCACCTCCACATCATGATGGACCTCCTTCATGCACGACGAGAGGAAGTCGGTGGGAGCATTGTGTCGCATCAAGATGAATCCCGACAGCTTACAAATTTGTTCATGGTCAACTGAAAACCTTGAGCCACAGGGACAGGATGCTCGCAGGTTTTCCAGAGGGCCACAGTACCGGAGCCGAATATGATCATGAAAGTAAGCTTTCACAACAAAGTAGGAACCGTGCTCAGCCGTAGGGACGGTGGTCAGGGTACAGGACCCGCCCTTTTCGCGTGCCAAGGTTTTGCTCGCTGTTGTGGCTGCGGCAGGCGGCCTTGGATGGCGGCCGCTGTTGCGCTCAGTACTACGCGGTGGCGAATTCGCACTCCCGACATAGTTGCCTGGTCCGGCCGAATGCTCTCCAACGACTCCGATCCGCCGGTGTTGATCTGAGCTGCGAGGTGGGTTGTGCACTCCAAAGACCCAGCGTTCGGAGAGTCCTCAAAAGGGTTGTCGAAAGATAAACCGCGATGTCGGGCAGGCAGAGTTACCATCTCCATCTCCAAATCGCTCGCTTCATGCTTGGTCAGAGCTGGCAGTAGACGGCATACCATAGAGGCTGCATGTGATCACCAACAGTGCATGTGTAAAGTACGCACGACACAAAACACCAAGGATGATTCGTTTTAATTTTCTCACCCATAGGTAATCTTCAGACAACTCATGCTGCCCGAGCAGCCAATGTCAGACTTTATTATTGGATCTCTGTAAGTACATCTCTGTATTAAAAAAACCTCGGCCATAAAGATCAAAATATGATGCATAATGCTGTTTTTTGTATCAGGAATCAAATATTCACGTGAAATGGAAATATATTGTCAGACCCACCAATGCAATTTCTGTTCTTGTGCATTGATTCACTCTGTACAGTAAGATGGAACGCGTGTGCTCAAACGAACACCAGTACTTGGCAAGTCGATTGGACTTTTCGATTTGACCACAAAACCTGGAAAGACGCCAACATATCCTGTCGGTCACTTGGCGGATCACTGGCTACTGTTCAGACAATTGCTCAGCTGCAATGCGCCAACTCTACAGTCATGGGAACGTCCGGTACGTGGGTAGGCCTGACTGGTACATGGAGCCCCGGGAACTGGAGTGCTTGGAAATGGGAAGCTGCATTGTCGTCCGTTACGGCACAACTTCCATGGTCCTTGCAATTTCCATTCATTCGGCCTGACTACATATATGGATACTATCAGCCAGACAAAATCAGGTTAAGGAATTGGGACAAACAACAATCACTTCGATATCTCTGTCAACGATATGTGCCTAAAGGTAGGTGTATGGCCTTTGATAAGCCGAATTTGATATCACATTGTTGATAAAGTTAAAACAGAGAGGTTCATAAAGTTATAAAGTCTACGAAAAGCCTACACCCACTATCTTCAAATCTATTCGGGTGTCGTCGCTGCAAATTAGAATCTTTTAATGGGTAACAAACTACCAAGCAGGCAGGCATATTGGGCCGGTCTAAGACAATGATTGAGAAACAGAAGGTACCAGGTTAAAGTCCTGCTTGGAAGCGGAAGGATTTTTTCCAGCCTTGCTGCGACCCACAGTTACTAGTAATTGGGAACTCGTGGCCTGGCACGAGGGACACATGGATCCTGTGAATGGGATTTTCGGTCTTTGAGCACTTGCTGGTGAGCTGATCTACTCTCCTCCCACCGATTTAGGAGGTGATCATTGTAGGGTGGTGTGGTTACTACGGATGCGAAAAAAGTGGGGTTACTACGGATGCGAGTCTCACGCGAACCATGATTATTTTTTAAACTACCAAGCAAAAGGCTTCTTTATAATATATCTGGGCTAGTTCTCGTTAGCAACAATCCGAACTAGCGCGCACACTGCACCGAATTGCTTTGTACTGCATTCAAGACTGACGTTATGCGCTTTGTTTTGCATTAAGTAGCGCATGGCACCTAGAAGATGACACAACAACGACATAGCTTTGCAGCATAGACAGCGTGTGTGGGCAGGCGTGTGTTTACCGCCATATTGCCAGGTGTGTCTTTACCACCATATTTATCAACCATAAATACAGCTGCATTGGTGTCTACAACTTCATTCTCCCGAGTCAAGCTCCGTCTGAATACAACCAAGAAGAAGATTGCCTGATGAGTCCAGCGGGGACGAAACGTACGTCGCAATCGAGCTATGTCGTTGCTGTGTTATCTTCTATGTGCCATGCGCAACTTGATGTATCAGCCTGGTATGTCGGATACCGCCAACCATGCATAGACGAGGCGCCAGGCCCGAACTGATGGTGGTGGAGGTGAGAAGGAGAGCTCTGTGCCAGAACTTTGCAGCTTAGAGAGCGTGGGTGGGCAGGCGTGTGTTTACCGCTATTTTGCCAGTTGTGTCTTTACCACCATATTTATCAACCATAGGTACAGCTGCAGTGGTGTCTTCAACTTCATTCTATCTTGAAGAGAAGAGAAGGAAATATTGGATAGATGAAAGAAAGAGGCTACTTGATAGTGTCGATTTGCGTCTCTGCATGCGAAATATAGAGTGCGAACATATGAGTTGTATAGTTTTGTTCTACAGTATCTAGTGCCTCTATCAAAACATCAGTCCCAATTTCCCCTGTCTGGTGACCACTGCAATGCCTGAAACTTCCCTTTGCACCTCTTCTTGGCGCTTTTCCTTATATTTCTCTGAACATTGGTGTGTTTACAACTCTATTCGGGGTGTCTCCACCTTTTGTGGACATATACGCAAATTGCTTGCATTGGTTGGAAGGATTATATCAATGTCTTAATAAAAGTGTTTGTTTGGAATACAAACTGTCAATTCTGCAGATAACTGGTACGAATGCTCACTGGACCAAGAAGCATCGGGAAGACTCGAAACACTTTATATTCCCTCACCTAAGACATACGATGATGCGTCTGCTGAGTGTGCCCGGAGACGTAGCATTCTAGCGAATATCCAGAATAGATATCATGGAGAGTGTGCAGGAGACCTGCTTGGACCCCGAAACGGTCAGTGCAACAGTTCTTCCAGTGACAACTGCAAGACTTCCTCGTACTTCTGCAAAACCAATACATGCAATGTGTGGGTTGCTCTTCAACGACCATCTCAATCCAATACCTGGACATGGATGTTACCTGTTCCAATCTCAGCAAACAATGTTTCTTGGATTACTGCACCACTACAAGGAGGAGGTGGACGGAACGAATGCGGGTTTTATTTCCCCGAGAAAGAGAGTTTTGGAATCGAATCTTGCTCAATGAAGCTAAGTTACTATTGCCAAAGATATACACCAAAAGGTAGGAATCTCATATAAACTATTTTACACACCCATTAGGCAACTCTTGTACTTGCCTAACAACCTTTCCGTGTTCACCTAACTATGCACTGAAGGCGCTGATTATAACATTAATTTGGGAACAAAGGTTGCTTAAAACGTCTTAACCCACAAAGGCCATTCAAAGCACATTTTCCGATCCATGATCATTATCACTACTTCCATAGTACAAAGATCGCGATAGATGTACATTTCTTCTTCCAAAACCTTCGGCTTTGTTTTATTTCTAGGAAAACATGGCTCGGGGTGGCAATTACCACTTTGCGCGGTGATTGAAGGGATTCATAGCCAGCTTCGGGAGTACGAAAATTTATAGAAAAAAATCGAAAAATGAAGAAGGAAAAGTTGAAAACTTGTGGCCAGGGGCTTTTGGCAGGGGTACGTGGGTGCTGCTAAAAGCGCTCAATATCCCGCTAGGGTCTAATTGGGTTAGCGTCCGTCGAAAGTTCCGGTCGGACACGGACACAACCATTTTCTTTAATATTTCCTCGAAATAGACTTGGGTATGTGTTAAATAATCTTAACCCTTGCACTCGTTTTTTTTGTCTCAGTGACGTGTGGTAAAGCTTTTTTTAGCTCTGAAAAAATCTCGTGGTTGGGCGTTTTAGCCCCACATATGCCCGTTCCGGGATCATGGAGACCACTGATACATCTCGGGAACCAGCTGAAGTCGACCCATGGCGGAAAGTAAGCGCCAGGGACCTGATGGCCCGAACTGTGCTATTTCCAGCTCCAAAGGATTTGAAACTCGCCGAGTACGTGAGCTGCCTCGAGCAACACGGAATAGGAGCTGAGCTCATCCTATCTATCCAGGTCAGTTCGGTAGGCCAATGCAGATTAACGTTCACAGATATCCAGCTTGCCCAGTTAGTCGTGAAGAATGGCTTCCATATCAATGGACAACATATCCTTCCAAAATCCTTGACAGAAAACACTCATGTTCAGTTGCACATTCACGATGTTCCTGTGTGGGTGTCGGATGGCGCCATTACAGCCGCACTTGCTCCATACGGTACCGTGCAGGGTGCCATCCGCCACGGTAAACTTAAGGTACGGGACAACGTTGTTATTGCAACCGGAGTCCGTTTTGCAACCTTTGTACTGGGGTCGAATAAAGCCGTACCTTCGTACGTGAAATCCAGAGACGGGAAAGGCACTTTCCGCGTACATTATAGTGGCCAAAAGCCCACGTGTCGGATTTGCAGCAAGCCAGAGCACCTTGCCAAGGACTGCCCTGAGGCCCGCAGTACCACTGCCAGTACCGGTAGTACACAGCAGTCACGGCATTCAATGTCACCTACATGTACAGACACTGAACGCACACGTCGACTCCTGTCTGATGTGGTCGCAAACCCAGCCCAGACAGAGCAGCAAAGTAAAGCCCAATCACAATGCCCAACATCCAAGTCTAAGCAGGCTAATCTCCCAGCAGCTGACAAGAGCGACTCCAGCTCCTCTGAGTCTGAAGAGTTGCCTCTTTCTGCTGATACTGAATCATTGGTCGACAACGAAAGCTTATCCAAGCCAGAAAACCAGCAGCTGTCTAACTTGCCCTGCGACTCCGACAGGGAGGCCAAGAAGGCAGACAGCGATGCATGTACAGCTCTGGGCCCACAGCTGGGAGGCCATAGCGACGATGATCCTGATTCTGGCGGGTGGGAAGTCAACCGATCCAAGCGTTCACGCCATAGCGTCACACCTGATCGGGACCAGAGTGCCACCACCACTGGATCCAAGCAACGGAAAAAACGGAAACGAAAATCTCCTGAGAGTGGCCAACAAGTCCTGCAGTAAGTCACTTCAGAAACTTACCGCTTTGATACACATTTACCTTTCATTTTTACACCGATGCCTAGTTCTGTCATTCATCACAATACCATTAAATGTTCACTCAGACTCCTTTGCACCAATGCATTTAGCTTAGGAAACAAGCTAGCTGAGTTCCAGCACACACTGCACCAGCATAATCCCGACATAGCAGTAGTGACGGAAACAAAGTTTTCCTCTGAAACCGTTCCACCATCCGACTCCACATTCCCTGGCTACACCACCTTCCGGCTGGATCGAACAGCACGCGGTGGCGGAGTGGCGGTATGGATCAGATCTACACTCCCAGCCATGGTAATTGATGAGTTATTTTCTCCACATCACGAACTCATTTGGCTATCCATTCAATTGTCCCCTGGACAAAAGATAGTCTTGGGCGCTGCTTACAGGCCAGGTTCGACGGGGCCCAGTGACCTTACGCTCATTAACCATCTCGATGACATCCTTCCCTCTGCTCGTGCACTTGGTGCCAACCTCATACTCACCGGTGATTTTAACGTGCATAACCGAAATTGGCTCCATAGCTCGAAGACCACACCTGCGGGGGAAGCCCTCGAAGACACATGCACAGCCCACTTTCTCACGCAGCACGTTCAGAGTCCTACTCGCGGGGATAACACACTCGACCTGGTGATGTCCACGTTCAACTCTCCAGTGACCACGCAGATAATGTCCCCTATTGGTCGATCTGACCACGCTGTAATTCTTTCGGACTTCACAGGTGTTCTTCCTACCCATGAAGCGGCGGTGCAACGAACTGTCTGGCGCTATGAAAAGGCAGACTGGAACCGCCTCCGATACTTTTTCCGCCAGGTTGATTGGTCAACCGTCATTACTGCCAACCCAGAAACTTCGTGTGAGCACGTTACTGCCACAATCATGAAAGCCGTTTCCCAGTTCGTTCCGTCCAAGACACTGACAGTGAAGTCAACGGATCCGAAATGGTGGACACCTGAGTGTGCAGCCGCCATGAAGGAGAAGGACAAACGCTGGCGCACTTGGAGGAAGCACCCTCACGATTTTGCACTGAAACATGAGTTTACCCGTTCTGTAAACAATGCTATCGCAGTCCTCGCTAGATCTAGAGTTTCCAAAGAGAACAGCCTCTGACATAGCTTGTCGAATGGGTCCCTGAAGGAGAAGGAATGGTGGACGAAGCTAAAGTGTGCTTGTGGCGAGGGTCGGAACACTGACATTCCCCTGCTCGTTGATAGTGAAGGTTGCGAGAGGGCCACAAGCTATGAGAAAGCGGAGGCTTTCGCACGTTTCTTTTCCCACAAGTGCAGTGTGCAAGGCCGCGACCTTACCACGATGGACTTACCGGACACGGCATTCGCTGACGCACCTGCACTAACGACAGTCCACTTTCGCCCGGATGCAGTCCACCGGCTTTTAGCTCGCCTGGATGCCTCAAAGGCGACTGGACCCGACGGTATTTCCGCTCGTGTCTTGAAGGAATGCGCCAGAGAACTTGCCAAGCCACTGTGTCAGCTCTTTGCTCTTTGCTTCCAGCACGGAGTCCAGCCACAAATGTGGAAGACTGCCAGCGTGGTTCCAATCCACAAGCGATCTTCACGATCCGCCCTAAGGAATTATCGTCCAGTTTCACTGCTGAGCATAATCTCTAAGATCATGGAGAGCGTTATCAATCGTCAGCTCATGAATCACCTTGAGCGTTACAAACTCCTAACACCCCACCAGTTCGGGTTTCGTCGCCGCCTCGGGACCTCAGATGCGCTACAGGCTCTACACCACGCCTGGATCACAGCCGTCGGCCGAGGCGGTGCAGCACGTATTCTAGCCGTGGATATTGCCGGAGCATTCGACCGTGTGCCCCATGCTGGCCTCCTCCACAAAGTCCGCCATCTTGGCATTGGCGGCCCCCTGCATACCTGGCTCTCTTCCTACCTAGGTGGACGGTCCATTCAATGCTTGGTGGGCGGCCAAACCTCATCGCTGTATACCATATCAGCAGGAGTTCCCCGAGGGAGCATACTCGGCCCCACACTCTTCCTGATTTACGTGAACGACGCCTCAGAGACCCTGTCACCCGGAGCCCACCTGGAGGCGTACGCCGACGATACTACCTTGTACAGCCTGATATCCCTCGACACATCCCCAGCCGACGCAGCATTGAGCCTCCAGACTTCTGTTGATCGCTTGCATCAGTGGGGCCGCAGATGGCGCATCTCCTTCGAACCGTCGAAGTCCCAAGCCATGACCGCCACTCTCCGCAGAACCCCCATCAATTTGCCTCGCATTGTCTTCGGCGGCACTCCTGTCCTTGAGGAGAAGGCTTTCTCTTTACTTGGAGTGACCTTTGACTCGAAGCTGTCATTCAGCACTCATCTCCGGAAGGTTGCCACTCGAGCCAAACAACGCCTAGGCTTCCTGCGCCGTGCAGCGCACATTCTCTCTCCAGCCGGCCGCACCACGGTATACAAGGCATTTGTTCGACCAGTTATGGAGTATGCCCCCCTCATCTGGATAGGTGCTCCGCCCAGCTACCTGCAACGCCTGGATCATATCCAACGCTGTGCTCTGCGAATCATCGGTCCAGGTGCACTATTACCTAGCCTGGCCATCCGTCGTACTGTTGCCTCGCTTGCCTGCCTATACAAGCTGCATTACCTGCCTGGCCCTCCGCAGCTGCTCTCTGTTTTGCCACCGCGCCATTTCCCCTCATCCAGCCCCAGAACTCGCAGCGAGCATGGTAGCGTCATTGGCCATGACCACCAGCTCCAACACCAGCTGCTTGCATCTGTCCCGCTGGCATTAAAGCGCTCGTTCCCACACTGCAGTATTAGTGACTGGAACTCCCTCCCCGCCGCTCTTCTGTCCCAGCCTCCCCACAGCAAGGGAATGCAAGCATTCAAAACTAATGTTTATCGCCATCTGCGACTCACAAACTGGCTCTGGGCAGTCGACTCGCTATGATGATGCTCTCGTCGTTCTCCTCTATCCCTATCTATGCACCACAACTGGCTCAGACAACCGACTCGCGATGACCAGCCATGATGATGCTCCTCTCAGTACAGCCCTTGTAATTTGTTAATAGTCTCACAGTTTCTCCCGCACACTCGCTGATGTTAACCCTTCCTTTCTTTTCATTTTGCTGACTCGTACAGCTCTATCTTTTGTTTTTGGTGCGTGTTTTTGGCCGTGATGCCGAGACCTCAGGTCGGCAGAGCCATCAATGCCCCACCATCACTGCTGCGTCTCGGTGCAGCCCCTGCTCAATAGTTGTCACGTTCGTCCTAGTCTCAGTATCATTGTCTTTCTTTATTATTTTCGAGCTGGGAGTGTGAACATAGTAAAAAAAAAAAAAAAAAAAAAAAAAAAGTTACGAAGCACGTACTAGCTGGCATTACACGCGATATTCACATTGGGCACTAGGAGTATCGCCATTTCACTAACCAATAATGATATCACCTAATTAAGGAATTTCCAGTTTTGCTATTGGGCAGTAGATACGATAGATTTGACCAGGCAATACGGCAGTAGTTAACATGTGGCAAGATATAATGCATTGTAGGAAGAAGAGCGAAAGCGGACGGGAAGATGGGCGCGATGGGAGTACAATTATTATAGTTCTGTCCCCACTTGGAGTATTTTGCTCCTGCTCTTGAAGCAGTTGAGCGCTCTTGTCTTTGCTGTGTGCGTTATGCAGAGCTCCCTGACTTGTCAGTTTGAGCACTCTGGCAAGGTTCTGCATGTACCTTCGTCAACGTCCTTCACATCTAAGAGTTTCACGTTTCAGTCTTGTTTTCGCGCATCTTCCCCTCCTACTCCTATAACTTAGAACCTTTCAAGTTGGAAGGAGGTTGGAGAGCGATTCCAGTACATGCTGGAATACGTGCTAGAGTTGACCGTCAGTACTGTTCAACAGTGTCGTTCAATTGCATTGCTTGAGCGTAAATCAACCCTTTTTTCTTTGAGTGTTGCCTGGAATAAACTTCCTGAAGATATTCGTTCACTCTCTACAACAGCGAAATTTAGTATTGCTGTTCGTTGGTATCATTCGCAATCAATGTTTTCTTTGAAAGGTATTCCTGACTTTTGTGTCTAGGCTAACCACATCTATGATAGTTTCAATGGTTTGTGTATATTTCAGTTATAGTAATCCACAATGCTGCTTTTCTAATTCTCATTATGATTAGCATGCAATGTACTACCCGAAGCACTGAATTTACTTCTTCTGTACTCTATATTCTAATGTATCTTCTACCTCTTCTCCCTCACGAACATACTTTCTAATTTTCCATACTTGCTTAGGAGACTCCCTTCGATAGGCATCTATTTGCCTCTGGAGGATCCGTGAAATAAAAATCAATCAAATCAATCAATCAATGAGCTGATAGTCAAGCAACTAGTATTGGTGTTAGTGGACATTATAGCGTAACTTGCATTTCCTGGATCATTTTCTTTCCTATCTATATAAATATAAACCTGTTAAAGATTGCTGGAGTCTCGGTTCGAAAATCTTTTAGAATTCTGATTTTTGGAAGCAGTCAAATAGTCCGTACATATACAACTATTCTTCCATTAGAAAGGTAATATTCGACAAACTAAAAACCATGTACTTGTATATGTCTTGTTCACTGGTATTCCATGCGTTCTTCACTATGCTCTTTCCCCTGTAGTGCCCTCCGCCTTAGCTGCAAACTCTACAGACACGCAAATCTACGCACGCATAGTGCAGCCTGAGATACTTCGAGATTGGGTTTCTGATTTCTGCTTTCTGTACGCGAAAAATGGAACTTCGGCTACCCCGACTGTAGTGTGCGACAAAAATGAATCAACTGTTCTGTCAGGCCTGGCAACAAATACTTTGTATCGGATCAGAGCATTCTTCAAAACTACGATCGGACACAACAGCAGCATGTCCTCCGAAATCATAATTGGAACATTGCCAAAAGGTAAGGGATCCGGTTACATCATACACCGACACCAACAGGGTCAGGAGTTAAGAGTTTTGCGTGACTCTTTAAGGATTTGGTGAAATGGACATTCTACTTATTGTTCCAGGCAAATTCGTTTTGCCATGATCGATTTCCTCAAATGACATTCCATGTCACGCTTCACATAATATGCATTGCTGATTCGATTTAGGGTATAGCCACTAATGTGCCCAAATTATTTCGTTGACAGGATGTGGAGCTAAATAAATTATTGTGAAAAGAAGAAGGACACAATGTTACGAGTCGGGGGACAGTTAGTCATAACTCGTAACATTTTGTCCTTCTTCTTTTCACAATAGTTTCTTATCAGTGTTATTTTCACGTGCATGATCCTTAGTCACTGCCTTGCATGCAGTCTTTTCCTTTGTCACTCCGAGTGTATATTTCGAAACTATTCCATTATCACGTAGCTCAACATCATTATCACCTTTCTTGAATCTATACGGTACTAGAGAAACTACGAGTGGACCTAATTGATCCACAGACTTGAACGCGGCCGTGCTAAATTAATAATAATAAGAATAATTTGTGTCTTTCCCTCAAATTAACGAAGGATAAGAATAATATGAATGATAATACAGTCCTTTGGTTAATCTTTTTCTAAACAAAACAATTTCCTTAGTCATTACACGTGATGTGGATGTGTTTTATATCAGCGCCAAATCCGCCTCTCAACCCCGTCATCTCAAGTACTACTATCACGGTTTTTCTAGGTCGAATAGAAGAAGGCAACCTTCCCATACGCCAGTATTGTGTGCACGGAATGCCTGCTAATGATCTGTCCGGGAATATGCCATTGGTACCAGTATGCAGCGCCTCGAAAAATGTCACCTTACCTGGCCTAAAACCCAACATGAGCTATAATGTCACCGCCTTTGTTAGCAATGCCTATGGAGACAGTGACCAGTCCAGCTCCACTCGCATTACCACGTTGCCCACAGGTGAGGATGAATTTTGTTTTAAGCATTGTATGTAGTGAATAACACAGCAACCCGGTTTGAACAAAGTTGCAAGCAAATCCTTATAACCGGCACTTTGGAGGTCAGAGCATTGACAAAATATCACTTATGAAATTTTGGAAAGCTACCTACACTAACTTTGAAAGTGTGGCCAGACATGATAACCTCTGTGTCAAGGTTATGCGTAAAATAGAATATGGATGACTTAGCAAAACAGAATATGAATATTGCCAAGTGTTTAGCTACATGTTGTCAGCAATCAACGCTTTCTTTCTTCACAAGGTATGGGAACGATTCTTAAATCATGCGCTGACCTTCTTGCACCCTCACTGATGCTCATCTTCAACAAATCATTGTCCGAAGGCCAGCTGCCACCGAACATGAAAATCGCCAACATCACTCCCGTCTACAAAGGTGGTGACCCCAGTCAACCCACCAACTATAGACCTGTCTCTTTGCTCCCTATAGTCTCCAAGCTGCTTGAGCGTATCGTCCATGAGCAACTCAGTCAATACCTGGCTGAACATAATCTTTACCCTTCCTGTCAATTTGGCTTCAGACGCCAGCACTCTACAGAGGATGCTCTCACAATGGTTACAGACAAATTCCTAAGAGCCCGAGATGACGGGCTGTCAACTGGCGCTGCTTTCCTGGACATGTCAAAGGCCTTTGACAAGGTCCAGCATCAGACACTTGTCGAAGACCTATTCCAGCTTGGAATCTCCGGCACAGCCCTGAACTGGTTAAGCGACTACCTCTCAAATCGTCAACAACAAGTCGTCATCAGCGGCGATAGTAGCTCACGACAATCCGAGGACGAGGAGGAGTTCGACATCGACAAGAGCAAGTCTGCCATCTACAAGCATTTGGTGTCCAGTCCGGATTGTCGTAAGTTGTTTGACGATTCCTGGTTTAGTGTTATTTGTCGCGCGCGTTTCTTTAAGCAGTTGCAGGTGTTGGAAGCTGTATATATTCGCACACGTGACCCTGTTCTATGCAAGCAAAAAGAAAATGTTGTAGCACTCACACTTTTTAAATAATACACACTCACCAGTTTTTGTTCACACGCACTCACAGCTGCCACATTCATCTACTGCTACCATTCTCAGATACACTGCAAAGGTTCACACTACACGCGTTATGCATAACCGCTAGCTGTGCTGCATTCTCACGCTTCTTTTCATGTTACTCTAGCTATATAACTGGTTGTTTTAGTGATTCTTGCTATGTGACGATGTTCCACTGATGATGGTCACACGAAAACGTTCTGGAATTGTTTCATTTTAATTGTTTATACATGATTATGAGTGCACAATTGATATTTTTCATTGCTATTTTACGACTGTTGTCTCCTCGTCGGTTATTTAAATACTTTTTTTCTATTTTCTTTTTTTCTTTTTAATCTTTTCCTTACATTTGTGTGCCTGTTTGTCTTTAGTCGATCTCATGTAATAAGGCAACACTGCCTGTTTGTTATTCGACGTTAAATAAACCAATCCCAATCCCCATGTGTGGCCTTAGCAAGGACAGGGCACACGCACAAAAAATGAAAACAACAGACACACAATTTGTTTCGTTACACAGAAAAACGAATATCGTTTTTGGTCTCTACATTGGTGTCTATATATGAGCCCGAGCGCGCTAAAACATGACCACAGCTTTTTTTGAAAAAGTCGAGATAATCGCGATTTGAATTCCGCGGCAAAAAAATACGAAGTGCAGTGCAACGCGAGTCGCTGTTGTTGTTCTCCTCGGTCGACTGGACTGTTCCGGATGCAATTCTTTGTTGCAAGTAAGTAGTTTATTTGTTAGAGTTTGTATTCCATGTTGCGCTGAGTCGCCTAAAACTGATCGTCATCGATGTATCGACAGGAGAGCCTAGTAGTAGTAATGTACTGCGGAGCGGAAGAAGACGACATCATCGCACTCCATGCGCAGGATAAAATATTTTGAGGATTCGAGTCGGAAACAGAAGGAAGACGATGATGGCTACAGCGACGAGTCATTTGAGGGCGACACTTTCATCGAGCGTAAAAGGAATTGATGCTGGTCAGCTGGTAGTCCCACGATCTGCAGTGACGAGGAATTCTACTCTGATGACAACCTGGCAAGCGATTGGCATCGACGCTGACTTGGGAGGTGAGTCGGCCGATGATTTGGCCAGAATGGACATCGCTGCACATATCCGGGACAATGCCAGTATTGGTTGCAAGTGCAAAAACAATCACTGGACTCTGCTGCTCCCTCAACTTGCTCAAGTCGATAATTTGAGTACCCGTATGCGGAACATCGCTAGCATGAGCAGCATGCCGCGAAAACAGTACTCTCTGGCGAGCGGAGAAAACCGTGTGCAGATGGGCTTTGGTGTGGGGAATATGAGTGCGACGTCTAGTACTGCGTATGTTGAGGAACACTGTGTGCAGCAGTGTATACTGTATATCTGAAAGTACAGGTGGAGTGTGATGGAGAGGACATGGAGTGCCAACTTCTTCGGCCATCTACAGATGTTGACCGTGTTTTCGCTGGCGGTTCTCCAGTGGTGCTCCAAACATGAGGTATTTCGGACACCCAGCTCAGCTGCCTATAGACAATTTGGATGTGGCTGAGTACCTGTCAGCTCATGCTATAAGACCCTGGACAGAGGAACTGACCCGGAAAGGATGAACCAAGGGGCATATAAATTGTGTGAAAAAATGACAATCCCATTGCTGCACATAGAATTTCACCATTTCAACAGTGCTGCATATAATACCATTGTAGTAACACTTAGACATGTCGGATCAATCCAAAACTTTGAACAAAAAACTGAAAATCGAATTTTTGGTCTGTGGTCATATTTTGGCGTGCTCTGGCTCATATAATACATCTGAACTTGTCAACATTGTTATCTGCCAATTTTATAGTGCCATCTTCAACAATACCCCCAATCTCGGGCAATGAAGCAAGCACCAGCGGGATCAGTGTTGGAGGATTCGTCGGCCTAGCCGTGGCAGGAATCCTAACTGTAATCCTGGCTGTAGCCATGGCGGCCAACCGAAAAAGGATTTCTCGCTGGTTCTCATCGAAAGATTTTACAGGTACACAATCCACTGTCCTCCTTGTCTTGAAGCCGTTGTGTTCAATGCACGGTCGATTCTTTTTCTCAGTATAAACAGCGCTAAATTCTGCAATGCCTCCTTCACTGAAGCTAGAAAAGCTTTTGTTTTGTGAAGAATTCCTGCCCTAAGAGATCCTAAAGCATAATATTATGATGAAGGCAATCATTACAATTAGCTGAACCGACATTTATTACAGGGTGCCACAGAGTTCTTGGCCATTGAAGAAAATGTGTTGAGTCACCTCTACCATTACACTGCACTCGTTAGCTGACTAGACCCTCCTGCACACAGCCATCAACATTCCCAGGACACTTCCTTAGACGATACTGATAAACTGCTTCAGACAGCTGTTTCGATAATACATAGCTCATCAGTGAAGGTAGATGTTGATTGATTTAAATATAGACCAAACTGCTATTATAATTATAAAGTTTCCACATACAAAACTGGCATAGCTGAGGTGATAACGCGGGAAAGTGTGAAGCACTGTTGACGCGCATGGGACATGCATGCAGCGTTAGAAATTCGGCGCGGAAAATCAATCACTATGACTATCAGTGCAGAAATAACGTGCCAGAATCAGTGTACTGCGTAGCTAGTGAGAGTCTGTGTATCGCACTTGTCCGAGTGCCGTGGAGGCCGGCAAACGCCCCTCGCGTCAGAGCAATAAGAGGGACAAGACGAGTCAAGGGACAATCCGCAGAACGCAATACCATACGACCAACTGTGTTTTTCTACCAGCGTTATTGTACTGTCCACACACATCTGACGACGATATACTGGGCGAATGCCGCGGGGCCTCGCAGCGTGTCAGCGGCATTGGGTGATAGGCAGATAACAAGGTAGCTTGCGGACAACATTGGTGGCATGAATACTAATGAGTGCCAAGCGTTTTGGCGCGACGGGCGACCAGTACAGTGCTTCAGGGGCTGCTGTGGCTGTTGACGTGGGAGAGTCGTGAGGTGTGTTTGCCGGCCTTCATAGCGCTCGGACTAGAGCCACACACAGACTCTCACTAGCTACGCAGTACACTTGTTCTGGCACGTTATTTCTGCATTGATAGTAATAATGATTGATTTTCCGTGCCGAATTTCTGACGCTGCATGCATGTCCCATGCGCGTCAACAAAACTTCACACTTTCCCGGGTTATCACCTCAGTTATGCCAGTTTTGTATGTGGAAACCTTTTATAATAGCAGTTTGGTCTACACTTTAATCAATCAACATCTACCTTCACTGATGAGCTATGTATTAGCGAAATAGCTGTCTGAAGGAGTTTATCAATATCATGTACGGAAGTGTCCTCGCAATGGTGATGGTTGTGTGCAGGAGCGTCAAGTCGGCTAAGGAGCGCAGTGTGATGTTGGGGGTCACTCAACATGAACCGACATTTGTGTACGATATTCATGCAATGTAAAAACAGTATAGTCGATGTGCAATAAAACGATGAAAATAAGAATAAATGGTGTACATCGTCTCCACTGGTTTACCATTGCATGAATAAAGTACACAAATGTCGGTCTAGCTCATTTTATTGATTGCGGTTATCAAAATATTGTCCCCTCACCATTTGCATAACATTATATTAATTTTAATGGGGATCGTATGGAGATAAAAATGCAACTCTCTATCTTTGTTTTCATAATTCTATGCCTTTGTCTGCCTCTCAGAAGTTTTCTGACCTTTTGCTCTTTCAGTCTATACTTATTTCTGTCCGTCTTCCCTTCTCTTTCTCTCTTCATCTGTCGATTACCATTTCTCTCTGTCGGTCTCTTTGTCCCTCTAAACCTCTTTCCCTTTCCCTGCCTGTTCGTCTCTCGGTATGTCTCCCGATCTCTCTCCCTCTCCGCTCTTCTAAACGTCAACCAATGTGGTCATGTTAGCAGCATGAATTTCGCTGAGGGCATGTATTTTCGAAGTAATGTGAATTCTGTGCTTTAACGCTACATGAAATGCTGGGTATATATTCACGAGTCAATGTCGAATATCAATTATCAATCTGGACAGGGAATTTACCATTACATGCGATGTTTTCTTGTGTGTTCCGCTCTCCTTCTAATCATCAGTTCCAGAAGAGAGGCCACAGGTGAGTGCAGCGAGGAACACGTTTACAGTATGCACCTTATCTGTCCTCATTCATCTGTTTTGGTCTAAATATCACACAGTATCGCCTATTGAGTACTATGCACAAGAAAATCCACGTACGCCTTGCGAGCAATGTTGCGGCAGCATCTTCTCTATGGCTTTGTCTTTTCTTACGTCTTCTCCTTGACTGTGCACCTCAATGTTAAAATTAATGGTTTTTTAAAACCAGCACTGTCGCAAAAGCGGAAAATGCTGGCCAACCACGACCTCTTTTGTATTTCGGAGAAAAACCATCCAACAGTTTAGAATTACTTAGGTAGAGTATAGGTAACTCTTTACTGGCCAAGAAAGCGCCAAAGGAAGCTGCGATGCACCTCTGAGTCAAGTGACCTGATCCATTTGAAACTCTGCGTCGCAACATAGCTTCGTACCCCGCGATTGTGTGGACGACTGCGTTCTTGATCACATTTCAGTGGTTGGACAATGCTACCTCCATGCAGTTAGTTCTTGAGACAAATTTTCCACCTCCTTTTATCGCATGAAGGGGAATCTGTGGAGCCCTTGGTAACCCAGCGACATAATATTCTACAGAAACACAAGTAAAGTGTTGACTCTCACCAGAATATACTCTAGCGGTTTCGTACCATTCCCAATTTCCCGCACAGGAAGATGATCCAATTGAACTTAACCAGTACGAGGATGTTCAACGCAATGATGAAGGAGAAGCCCACAGGCCGCAAGATCACGATGAACAGGTACGGAGAACTAGGAACAAAAATAATTTTTCGAAAGTATAATTATAATTATGACATTTACTCAAGTGTAATCTCCATTAAACATAGCCTTGTATGAAGGATTGACACGAAGAGGAGAGAATGAATTAGCGAGATTACACACAGAAAAATGAGTAGAGTGCTGACTCTCAAGCATATAATGAACGCAATTCAAAATTAGTATCTAGTTTTACGGGTCAGTTCAAGCCCATTTTGCACGACGAGATGGCTTTCAACAGCTTCACATGTTGAATGACGAGGATTTTAGCGTGGGTGCAGCTTGGCGAATGGGGCCTCTAATTTTGCAATCTTCTGTTCACCCTGTTTCACAGGATTATTCCTACTCTGCAGTTGGTGCTCGTATTAGAGACGAGAAACCTGCAGAAGCAGACACTGACGTGACGGTAGCAGAACACAGCCACGACAATGAGACAGAGGCGACAGCGGTAAGACCTGTGGAGGAGAAGTGAGGATAATTCTTTTGTTTTAGACTTGGATCTTGTATATTTTCTTTTTGTCCCTATAACTGAACGGGTATTCAGCTCAGCTGGTTACAGCTTTCTTCCGCGCTCTTTCTACAGTTGCGCACACTGAAATCGGACACAATGTGTGCACAACTAGCGCTTTACACCAGATCTGGCAACATCATTGCACCTCTACATGTGAGAGTCCTGAAATCCACACTATAATCGTGGCATTTCATTGACGTCAGGGTCCGCGCGAGCCTAGGGTGTGAAGTATGCTCTTTGAATCTGATTTCACCGAGGATAACGGTATTATGAAAGATAGCTGCTTTTCTATGAGAAGGAGACCACACGTCACACAATCATCAGTGTAACTACAACGACAATCACTATTTTCCACAAGATAGTTATCAACAGCAGACTCATACTCCGTGACAGCACTACCAGGCTCAGTACATGAGTTCGAGTTACGAGACAATGGAACTGACTTGTTAGTCCGTGACGTTCTTGTCAATATTGGAGATACTTGGTCTCTTTCATGGAAAAAAAGGTTAAGTTCGCGCAACTGTGCGGCACTCCACATTCTTGGCACAGATGTCCTCCTCCAGAGTTTGGCAGCAAGGAAATTGGTCGCCGCCCTCAGCTATATGTAAAAGCTGATGTGTCTGGCAGGGCCGCCGCAACTAACGTCGCTGGTTCCCCCACTGCTTCCTCCACGAACATGTCCTTGAACTCGGTCCGACTACTCGGTGCGCCACGAGTCTCAACTACAGAACGTCCTCCCGGCTTCCTCTCCTGACTACGTGTGACGCTGCTTCCCCTACAGCATCATTGACGAGTGGAACAACTTGCCCCCAACTGAGCTGCAGTCTCCGCCACGCCTGACGTCTCTCCAGTTGTTCAAGGGCAAGATGTATCAGCACCTACGACAAAGCCGCTGGTATCGGGCTACAGACTCGCTGGCACACCCCATACTACAAACTCGCTGTAACACCCCGTATATCCACAATCAGCTCCCTCCCATTCACTTATTTATTTCCATTTGTTTCGTAATCCCGCCCATGGTGCGCCGGATAGCGCTAACGCCGAGACCCTAGGTCGGCGTTGCTAGTCCCACCTCACGGGCACAGGCTCCCTGAGAGCCCCTACTAGTACACTGTCTGTCGTTCTACTTTGTTGTCTCGATCATTATTTTCTTTTGTCTTCTTCTTCTCCTCTCTTTGTATAGTCTATCAATAGGAGGTGCATTCTGTAAAAAAACAACAGTGCTATAACCGGCTTGCGGCTGGGTTGAGAAACACAACCAGCTCAGAGAGGTGTTGCTTGTTCCAGGCCACCACCGTGCATGATTTTACCAAGGTGGCAGATGCAGCGCAATAAATGCCGAAGGTGAGGTGGAAAAACTCGTCACCAATGTCCGCTAACCCCCCCCCCCCCCCCCCCCACCACCCTTCGCTATCATATTATTGGAAAACGATCCCGTTCGACTTTGCGAAGTAAAATAAAGAACACATACATACCGGAGGCGAACCTCGTTAGCTGAGTCAATGTTAACTTTACTCAGAACAGTGTCTGGTTTACGCAGTCAAAGACATTTACGTGTTATGAAATCTATCTCAATGTTTACAACCAAACCAGACTTCCACAAACAGAAAAGGTTTTTACACTAGACACCGAATTGTTCTGTAAATCCGGCCCAGTTATCCTCTCCTTCTTGTTAGAAAATTTACTTTCTGGCTGTGAATGTGTACTTCCCCAAGAAGCTAAGGACCTTTCTTCCCCCCGCCTTTTTAAGAGCCTTGTCGCGCCTTGACTTTGATTTTGTGTTTCTCATTTTTTTTCAATCACTACTTATCCATGCCGGTTCCTTTTTTCTTCTCCTCCCCTTCTCCCTTCCTTGCCGTGGTTGGCTAACACCCTCTCTCTTTGTATTGGCCTGTGTTCTCACTGTGCTATGAGATGCTGCAATAAATATACTTTGAAGTATAAATAAATAATAAATAAATCTATCTCATAATATACTAATTGATTGTCACAGGATATTTTTGATTTGTTTTATTACTGTCAGCGCTCATTATTGTTGCTTAGGGCGCTTGTACTGGGTGCGCCCTATTCATTCTGTAATAACATTCCTATAATATCCTACGGAAGCCATTTGACGAATTATGTGGTTCTATAATTAATTCATGAAATCTAAAAATTTGGCCTTCTCATGCCCAGCATCAATTACTGCCCAGAACAATTTCTAAACCAGATTTCGAGCATCTCTTTAATCGGAATTGCACGAAAACTGGTTTCGGAGTCCTCCTTGCCTCCGATTCAAACCGGCAGGAAAACCGCGAGCTCAGATCCAGGTTCAACAAACATTTTCCCAAGTATCGCCGAAGTCGCAACAATCTCTTCTTCACATTGTTTTCCCGAGCGCGGGCTTGAGAATTAGATGGTTTGGAGGCAACAACGTTGTTCAGCACCTCAATGACCGACACTGACTCACGCTGCTATCTGGTATTCACGAGGTGTTTGCCGCGCTGGAAACGGAGCATATGTGTAAGTTTGTATCCCTGATGATGTTTGTGCCTGGATAGCACTAGTGCTGCTCTTCTGGCACAATCTTCATCAGCCCACTCAAGCTGAAACACGAGTGGTGCTTTCTAGCAGGTATGCTGAGTGAGCGGTTCGATGGACTTAGTATGCTCTGGATGGCAGTCGTGAATCCGCCACGTGCGAATTCAAGTCGGAAAGAAAACTGCGAGCTCCCATGTAGGGAGCAACACACAGTTCTACAAAGAAGATTAAGAAGATAACAGAGAACAAATGGGCAGGGGTTTGCAGGACCCTCATGGATGATGGCACAGTGTCTCACTTTATTGGTGAATTCATGCCCATATACATGAGTGGATGGCTTCCAGCACTGTCAATCTAATGCGATTGTAACCTGGAATATATTACTAGTATTATGTCCTCTTTTCATTCTTCTCCACAGGCATCGGGAGCGAGTGCACTGGAGTATACCTATGCCACGCCTGTTAGTCGTAAAAGAGACGTGAAACATGCAGAGTTGGACACAGACGCACAGGGAGCGGAACACAGCGACAACTTCGAGGAACCAGCGACAGAGGTAGGAAGCTATCATAACTAATGATGCCTGTTAATTTCAGACGTTTATCCGGTGTTTGTCTTTTGGGGTGTAGTTTAGAACCTGTCTCTAGCTTAGCAATTTCATGCAGTGTTTTATATCTCTAAGGTTGCATTCACTGAAATCGCACTCAATGTGCAATACATGCGCTATAAATCAGTTCTGATCACATCACAGTACGTTTGCACGTGTGGGTACAGCCGTCCAGCATAAATGGGCTGTGCAGGTCGAGGGCGCCAAGTATGTCAGAAAGCAACTTTAATTTTACAGTAATAAGGATGTATCATGCATCTATGTATACCGCTCTCCACTCTGGCATAAAGGATCTTCTTTCCACTCCCCTTCCAACCTCCCCTTCCCCTCGCCCTACCCTCTTCCCCCATACAGACCCTGATTTCACTAGATTTCATTAGGTTGTTCTACGACTCATATCCTTGCTATTCTCTTCGTTTTTCCTGTCCCTTATCAGTTGGCCCAGTCCAAGATTGGCTGTGAGAACGTGTTGGGCGAGTTTTTGTCACCGACTGATGATGAAACCATTGAAATCAAGTATGCCGTTCTGGATCGAACCGAAATGAAGCCAACTTCGCAGTTAACAAGAAGCCAAGATCCCAAGGTGGGTGTTGACTATTCCTTGTCAGTTACAGAAGTAGAGAATAACTGGTGTGGCAAACCGACGCAATGGCTAAGCATAAACGCAGTGTGGGGCAATATTGGTGGATTTTGTCTTGTCAATTGTTGTAAACGGCATTTATGTGCCTCTGCCTTTCCTTTCCTTCCATACGTAATTATTGTCTTTCAACCCCCCCCCCCCACTCCCCCCGCTTGATGGTCTAGGAAGCCGGGGACCGTCTAGACTTACATCCGGGAAGGAAATAAATGTTTGTCCGTTTGTTTACCTTTTAAATTTACTTCATGAAGTTTAGGGAATGAACGATGAGGAACAGAAAGGCGTGTTGCGACTTTGAACTTTTGTGACTGAGGTGACAACCCAATACAAGGGCTATAGGAAGTTCGGTAGCTTCTGACACAGCGTCGGGCTGTGAGTATGGGCCATCTTGAGAGTTATAGTCCTAAACCTCAGTAACTACACCCTACACTTGTCTCTGGCAGATATTCGCAATATCAGGTTTCCTGAATAATATGTAAGTGATTACGAAAGAGATACAGAAGCATCGAATTTGTCCACCTATTTTTTCGTATTGTAATGGCGTTTCGAAAGGGTTCCACGCAGGATTTTACAATCATATCGATCGTTTCCCCGCCCCCCCCCCAACATCTCTCTCTTTCTCAGCAACAGTTTGTATTTCAGTTGACCGTTGAAGATGATTGCCGAGCCTTTCGTGTTACGTGATGGATTCTCCCTATCGTGTACATCAGTCAAACTACCCTACTTTGATTTGAGACCTGCATTCTTTTATCCCCCCCCCCCCAACATCTCTCTCTTTCTCAGCAACAGTTTGTATTTCAGTTGACCGTTGAAGATGATTGCCGAGCCTTTCGTGTTACGTCATGGATTCTCCCTATCGTGTACATCAGTCAAACTACCCTACTTTGATTTGAGACCTGCATTCTTTTATCCCCCCCCCCCCCCCAGGTTGAAGAAGAGCGTGAGCATACGTCATATGCGACAATCTGCAACCCAATCTATGATGTTGCAGGAGATCCCCCATCAGTGAGTTCATTGCTTGATGATAAGATCACATACTTTTGGATCTAAATGTAGCAAATAGTTCTTCTTACCGTAGCTATGCGAAAGACATTGCGTCTGGTGCTAGTCAGGGTCCACACAGCTCTATTTTTGTAATTGTTTATTGCATCGTCGGCCATGCCCGGCGCTATCCTGTACGTTTCCCGTACCCTACCATTTAACCTATTCAAAAAGGGCTTTCAACTGAAAGATGATAACGTGAAGCAACTCGGTGGAATGTGTATGTGAGCGAACAAAATTACATAACCCCCCAAGAGTGTGCAACTCCCACATACTCTGCTGTCTCATCAAAATTTCAAGTTGTTGAAGTCATTATTTATGATGCAATGCTACTTGCACTAGTGATGTACAAGATTTGTAAGGGTGTCAACGCATCACAGATTTGTCTTTGTAATAATTTGTACCGGATCAGATGGGTTTTGGTCCACCAAAGGTTCCGGATTCTTCTGATAATCCGTGTAAAGTGCGCATTGCATCATTAAAATGACGTCAACTTGAAATTCTGTTGGGACAACACCTAGTAGTAGTACTAGTATTTATTACAAGTATTTGACAAGGGAGTCCCAACAGGCATGGCCTTGTTACAGGGAATCCTAGGTGAATCTTTGTGAGGTGAGCAAAAGTACCAGCAAATTGTGCCTGACGACAGTTTGGATGAAGAGTGCTCCACCGACCTGCCGCCAGAAACCCATAATCGAGTTACACACTCTTGGGAGTTATCTACTCTTGGTGCGAAGTGTATTGGGAGTGTTATGAGACCACAAATTCTCAAGAGTGACATTGTGTTCGTTTCAATGCAGTTGTATCTCGACTCCGCTGTACCGCTGAAGTTGACGACGTGGTATACGCTACATGCGCTATGTGCGATTTGCTATGTGCGCTGTAGTTGTATGTTGTATGTGTATGCTTTCTCATATGCACTGTCATTTTCACGCTATAACTACCTGAACATGGTGGTTTAAGTGTTAGTTTTTGCTCGATCAAGCGAAATATATCGTTGACGAGTAAATAGTTGACCTCGTGCCGTGTGGTCGTTCGTCCTTGACACTTTAAGAGAATCAGAAGGGTTCAGAATATTTGGCGACTACGCCAGGATCGAAGTGAGCATGGCAGAGGGACTGCATAATTTGGAAGCGAGCTTTATCGACAACGGAATTCGGCATGGATTTGAAGGCGATAGTCTGATGGAATACGCGGAGAAGAAGCTCCAACAGTGCGAGGAGCTTGAAAAGCGCCGTGCCAAACGGCAAGAGGGTGCGCTAGGAATAGAGTTTAACGGAGAGCTCAAGAAGATGAACGAGCGCATCGCCAGGGTGTATGAAGGTAATGGTGACGCCGCGCGTGTGAGGTTGATGGGAGGTACAGTGGAAGCTACCAGTCACAGCGGTGGGCGTAGGTCTTTAATGCAAGTCCCGCATACGACGGAAGGCAGCCACTGGAGCATTATCTCGACCTGTTCGAGGACATCTTTGCCAAGAACGAGCTCGACGAAAACGAATGGCTGCTGCGATTGCGTATCGCGCTAACGGGTAGCACGGTAAAAAGGAACTTTTCACTCACAAAGCGACTGTTCAGTACATGGGGTAGTGGTCTACCAGAGCAATCACACTCACCACCGTGATGGTTTTCCAGAAATGAGTAGAAGCAAAAAACCACACTCACAGCCACATAATAAATAAATAGCCGAAAAACATCTAAATCCGTCAAAGAACCGCCAGCAAGCGGGAGAAAAGGCCGTGAAATCAAGTGGAACAGCATGGCCTGTGGTGAGCTAGGGTGACTGGGCAGCAGGGGAGCGCCTGAAAAACAATGACTCCCTACATTCCTAGCCGTGACTGCTCAACCGGGCTAGAGGAAAAACACGCCTTTCGGCCAAAAAACTATTTCATTAATTCCTGCCCCGCTACCAGTCAGACCCAAGAATAGAGATAGCAAGAAATGGTATGTAATAACCGGTGTATGTCATAATCATAAGCCACACACATAGGCATAGATTGTCAAGAAGAATAGCGGACGACTCGCATGAAACCAGGGTGAGTGGGCGGGCAACTTCAACTACCACGAGGAAAAACAAAGACCACGATGGCAGGTTCAACGGAGTTGCGCAGAACAAGAGCGAATGCACGAAAATATTTGTGAGTGAAAAATACGTTTTTTGCACTCTTTCGCTACGCTCAGCTGTGAAAAAACAAAACTGTATTGGCTGCAGTGCCTATGCGGAAGCAAAGCGAGGTTTGCTTGCCTCGCTCGGAAGGACGCCAGACAAGGCGTGGAAGACTTCACTTACAGACAAGCAGCGGGCAGAGGAGTATTTGAAGCCAGTTAAGGCAAAATATTCAGTACAGCATTTTGGCCGGAAACAATTGACCACACCGTCCGTAAGTTGCGTTTTGCCGACAGTACCAACGTGACTGAACGTGGTGCTGATAATCCCTCGTCATAATCATGTTGTCTATGTCTTCCCTCAGCTTGGATGCTACCCCATTTTCAGATCAGAATCCGACCTATCGCTGAAAACTGTGAATTGTCGCTCTCTCGTCAATAAATTTGCTGAACTTTCGATTGTTCTGGAGAGCACTAAGCCGAGTATTGTTTGCCTCACGGTGACCTGGCTGTGCCCATCTGTTTCTGTGCATGTACTGGGCTATGCCTGTTTAAGAAAAGACAGACCAGCACACGACAACTGTAATGCACACGCTTTCACTAGAGGATATGGTGGTCTCGCCGTGCTTGTCCGGACTGATGCTTTTCAACATGATCACACAGACCCGACCTGTAGCGTCAGGCCTGTGAATCTGCCTGGGTGGAAGTTAAGTCTCAATGCCCCTAACCATATTCTTGTATGTTGCATGTATCTACCCCCTTCCCAAACGGTGGAACAACTGTCCTTCTTCTCGGATATGCTGGTCGTCGCTTTACAGTCCTTTTGCTATGACGAGTGTGACTTCTTCCTGACGGGGGATTTTAATGCAAAACACAATGATTGGTGCTCTTCTGACTCCATCCCTACAGTCGGTACGAACATACCAACGTACCAACATACAGACAGGTTTTTCCATGTTTTGGCTCCAACAACTATTGAATTTCCCAACATACACTCCATCAGTGGGTGCCAACTCGTGTCTTGACTTGATGGTAACCAACAAACCCCGACATGTCCGTTCAGTTGATCATGCAGCACCTCTTCGCACATCTGATCACCTGCAGGTTGTTTGTACGCTCAACTATGCATCGTGCTCGACACCGACGCCACAAGCGACGGCTAAATCGTCACTCCATCCCCGGGCTCAGTACAGGTATAAACAAATGCCTACAAGTGTCTGTCAGGCTGTGAATGAAGACTTGTCTAGATCGGACTGGTCATTACGTCATCGGCATTCCGATGTTGATGAAGCCATTGTCCTGTTTGATGCTCTACTACAGCCAGCAATCCGTCGTCATCTGTTGCCTTACAAAGTTATTCCGCGGACCGGACACTACAGTAGGCCTCATCCTACTATGCGGAATGCATCCGACCCTGGATCACTGCAGACCTCAAGTGCGCTGTGAAACTGAAGCGAGATTTGTATATCATTTATAGGAAGTATCAAACCAGTGACAACTTCATTGCCTTTAAGCGCAAGCGTAACGAAGTGAAATGTTTGTCAAGTACCCTCCATCGTCAGTATGTACAGTCGGTTCATGCCACCCTGTCTTCCCATGATTGCCCTAGTCTCCATCAATTTCACCGCCATCTCCGTAAGAATTGTAGTCGGTAGCCGATCCGATCAATGACAGCTGCAGACGGCACCGCAGCAATAGATCCTGCAGACATAGCAGACATTTACTATAATAATAATTATTTTTATTATAGCTGGCTGGTGACTAACGCATTTGGCCTCACCAACAAGCTGGGAGAGCTGCAGCAAGCACTGCTCAATGATAACGTCGACATAGCGGTTATCACAGAAGCGAAGTTTTCGGCCCAGACCGTAGCCTCTGAGACGATATTTCCAGGATACTCGCCTCCCATCCGATGTGACCGGGATGCATTTGGTGGCGGCATTGCTGTATGGATGAAGTGGTGCACCGCGACCAGATTCCCTCTGATCACCACGAAGTCCTCTGGCTTGCAGTCAGTCTTTCTACGCAACAATCTGTGTGATCGGTGCCTTGTATCGGCCTGTATCCTGTGCGGACAACGACACCTGTCTGATTGAGTACCTTGGACCTGCACTAGACGTGGCCCGCACTCATGGCACTCATATAGTGCTAACAGGGGATTTTAATGTCCACAACTGGACTTGGCTCTGCAGCAGCAAACAAACTGTAGCTGGAGAGGCCTTCGAAGAATTGTGTGTTGAGCATCACCTCCACCAGCATGTCTTGCAGCCGACTAGGGTCTGAACACCCTGGACCGCATCCTTCCCAAAATGCCCGTTCCTATCGACACCACTGTCACAGCGCCACTTGTTTGCTCAGACCACGGGGTTGTTCTTGCCGACTTTTATCTCGCCCCTGATGCTGATCAAGCTACCTCCAGGCCTGTCTGGCGCTACAATCAGGGAAAATGTCAGGCCCCCTGAGGGCCGTCTATCGCATTACTGACTGGTCCACCATTGTGACTGACGACCCTGAAGAGTCCTGCAGGAAACTAAGTGACGTCATATCCAGCGGCATGCAGAAATTTATCCCTGCCAAGCAGCACATTACCCGCCAAGCAGACCCCAAATTGTGGATTCCTGAGTGCACCACAGCATTGAACACTAAAGTCAAGGCTTCGAAGGCCTGGAGACGAAATATTTTCAGCGAAGCCAACAAGGCTTGCTTCATGCGCCCAGTAGAAGATGCTATCCTCGCGAATGTGCAAGCGAGCACATCCTGGGAACTGAGAGTTCGTCGGAAACTGTCACGCAGAGGCCTGAGAGAAAAGCAATGGTGGTCGGTGCTCAAATCTTCTGCTGGCGCCAGTCATGGCTCGTCTA